AGAACCGAGGTTTCAAGGAACATACTGATCTCGGTTTGAGTGGCTGTACCACAGGTTACTGTGACGGAGAGGACCTTAGAGTTGGTTCGCAGTTTGCTCTCCAGGTATTGGAAGTTTCTCTGCAGGTCATGTATTACGTTGGACAAGGAAGTCACAGTTTGGCGAATGTCCCCCAGTTGTGAGGCCTCCATTTCAGACTCCATCATAGGCTGACTGGTACTGTCACGTACCTGATGGGAGACTGAATTGATGAGGTTGGCCTCACTTGTGTCACTAATCCTGAGCCCGCTGAGGTTGGAACAGAGGGCGTCCAAGGACCAGGGGGACAAGAGCGCCAGGGTTTTGCTTGCGGCTCTTGCAGATGATGACCTTGGTAAGCAGGATATCCTCTGATTCGGATACTGTAGAAATAGACCAGGCAGGTACAGTGGATTGTCAGATGCACAGCAGAGACAGGTTTGCAGCCAGGACACAGGACTGGAGCGGAGTCGTAGGATAGCCAGGATCATAACAGTCGGGCAGCCCGGTACAGGATCAGGAGCAAAATGCCAAAGTCAGGAACAGAGCTGAAGTCAGGAACCGGGGGCAGAAGAGCACTCAGAGTCGGGTCAGGAACAAGCCCGGTCAGCACCAAAGGAATCGCACAGGAAACAAGCAGGACACTGGTGGAGCTGAAGGCTGAAGACCAGTCAGCACTGAATCAGCACGGGGGTGCTCTTTAAATAACCCGCCCAGCGCCGACAGGCGCGCCTGGGTCCTAGTGCCTGCCCGGTGCCGTCATTGGTGACAGGCGTGCCTGGGTCCTAGTGCCTGCCCGGTGCCGTCATTGGTGACAGGCGTGCCTGGGTCCTAGTGCCTGCCCGGTGCCGTCATTGGTGACAGGCGTGCCTGGGTCCTAGTGCCTGCCCGGTGCCATCATTGGTGACAGGCGCGCCTGGGTCCTAGTGCCCGCCTGCCTGTATGCCTTGTCGGGATCCTGCGCATGCGCAGATTCATGCGCTGTGGCAATCTTCTTGTTCCCTGATACATGCATTTCACTTGCTGAAGACAAAACTGAAGGGAAAATGCCCCAAGAACAAGCAGGAACTGAAGACAGTTGCAGTAGAGGCCTGGCAGAGCATCACCAGGGATGAAACCCAGCGTCTGGTGATGTCTATGCGTTCCACACTTCAGGCTGTCATTGACTGCAAAGGATTTGTAACCAAGTATTAAAAAGTGAAAGTTTGATTTATGATTATTATTCTGTCCCATTACTTTTGGTCCCTTAACAAGTGGGAGGCACATCTGCAAACTGTTGTCATTCCTACACCGTTCACCTGATTTGGATGTAAATACCCTCAAATTAAAGCTGACAGTCTGCAGTTAAAATACAGAAATCCCCCTGCGCTCCACAGAACCTAGTGAGTTAGCTGCTATCACCTATTCTCTATACCGCAAGATATGTGAAACCAAATAATATAAGTGGTGAAGCGCTCAACTTAAATAATCAAAACTAGCAAACTAATAATGGGTGTCTATTTGAGATTAAAGATTTTATCACGTGTAAAACTGAAGGGGTCATTTATGTTCTAGAGTGCAACTGCGGTCTGCAGTATGTGGGACGCACTAAAAGGGCTTTGTGGGTGAGATTAAGAGAACATGTGAAAAATATATTAAAGGGGAACCCAAAACACAATGTTTCTAAACATTTTGCTAGTCATCATGCAAATGACCCCTCGGGTTTGAAATTCTGGGGAGTAGAACGTTATAAAAAGCACTGGAGAGGCAGCCACAAAGTGAGAACAATTAGTCAGGCGGAGTCCAAATGGATTTTCCTTATGCAAACGCTGACACCTAGAGGCTTAAACATTGAATTTGATCTCAATTGCTTCATTAATGATTTTTAATAATATTTAACTTAGGTTGAGAATGTTTTATTTGGTGGTTGTAGAAAAAATTGATGATTCCATTTCTGTGAACATGTGGTATGGGTACTATACAGGAGCTTTTTAGGTTTTTTTTAGATTTTTTAGATTTTTTTAAAAATGATTTTAGATCATGGTTTTTATTAATTTTATTTAATATTTTCTTCAAATTAATGGGTTAAAATATAAATAAAATAAAAATAATTAAAAATTAATTACAATATATTAAATTAAACTCATGTAATGGGGAGTTTTATAAATATGTTTAGGTGGGAGGGGGAAGTATTAATAGTAGATTTATCCCCTGATTTTATTTTTCATTTTTATTCCCAATTAAAATATTACTTTGGTTTTATGATGTTTTTTGGGTATAGTATACCTACCTTATGGGGTTTTAATAAAAGTTTTTTATGGGGGGTTGTCTGTATAATACTCTATAAGCAGTTGTCCTGTATACAGTGGGTTCCATGTGAACATAAATATGCCCCTTATAGATTTTATATATATGGGTAATTAATATGCCCTTTATAGATTTCTGGAGTAGGGGAAATAGCGGCGGATCGCGGCTGTCCTGTGTATAGTGGGCTCCATGAAAATGGAGGAGGTAGTATACACGCCCCTTGTAGATCATCCAGAGGAGTTAAAAGGAAGTGCGGCCATCCAATACGGTATCCTGAAGAAGCCACGTGACCGTGGCGCAACGCGTCGACGTAGGGGTGACGTACTTCCGGTTCCGGGTTCGGACGCCATCTTTGGACTCCTGTATACACCCATAGCATATGGGAAACTGCTTTTCGATTTGTGAGGACATGTGAGTGTAATGTTTCACTGTATCGGATTAGTCTATTAAAACAGTGTTGCACTATGGAGGTCTGCTTTTGTCTTTCTATATGAATCGCTCTGTGTCTGAGTCCATTGTGTGAGGGGTATTGGAATATTACTTACTGCCTGGAGGAGGATCTTGGTCGGTGGAGGCAGTGGAGGAGATTAACATCTGACAGAGATATATATATAAAAAGCTCTGTGACCCGCAAGGGTCGAATGTGGAAGGTGAGGGGGCATTTCTGCTATTGAGGGGAGTCACGTCAAGATTTTCACGAAGAGCACTATTGCAGCATGGAGTGACATTATTTGAACACTTTGCCGTTATTTTGCACAGTGTGGCATCACCATTTTAATTTATCTTAATAATCAATGTATTTCACCTTTTGCACAGTTTAAGAGATATTAGTTATCACTATATCACCAGGGATATATATTCTTTATATATATGAGGATATTGCACTAGTTTTCTATGTATTATTTATCAGTATTATTTGCATAACCTAAGAGGTATTATTTGTGTATTGTTATATCACTAGGGATTTAATATCTATATATGGGGATATTGCACTAGTTTTGATTATTTAAGTTGAGCGCTTCACCACTTATATTATTTAGTCTGCAGTTAAAGCACATCTTGTTCGTTTCATTTCAAATCCATTGTGGTGGTGTATAGAGCCAAAAATGTGAGAATTGTGTAGATGTCCCAATATTTATGGACCTGACTGTAGGCATTGGAGACAATTGTGTCTCCCAGCCTTGTGTTAACAGTTTGGGGAAGAACCTTTTCTGTTCCCTCACGACTGTCCTCTGTATACAAAGCCAGCTCCATAAAGACATGGATGACCAGTTTGGTGTGGAGGAACTCCAGTGTCCTGTACAGAACCCTGACCTCAACCCTACTGAGCACCTTTGGCATGAATTGGAACTCTGATGGTGAGTCAGATCTTCTCATCCAACATCAGTACCTGACCTCACAAAAGTGCACAAATTCCCAAAGACACCCTCTGTGGAAAGTCTTCCCTTCAAAGAGGAGCCTGCTATGACCACACAGGGGTTTCACCAGTTTGATGTGGAGGAACTTGAATGCCCTGTAGAGATTCCTGACCTCAACCCTACTGAAACACCTTTGGGATGACTTACAACACCAAATGAAAGCCAGATGATGTTTTTGGTGTCAAGCATGCCATGTGCAAGCCAAGTCTTCTTATCCGACTTTAGTCCCTGACCTCACAAATGGGCACAAACTCCCACAGACACTCCACAATCTTGTGGAAAGCCTTCCCAGAAGAGGGGGAGATGTTGTAGCCACAAAGGGGAGTCATTGCATATTATGGCCCATATCCTGGTTTAAATATATTGACTCCACATTAACCAGAAGGCGGCTGCCATGTATTGGTGAGCTCCTGGATCTGCTGGAAAGCTGTGCAGTATCGCAGCCACTTACCAGGCCCTTTGATGATGAAGGTTTAAAGTTTTTCACCTACCTGCTCAGATCACCAAGAGCATTCTGAAAGTCTCCAGTCCTCCCCACCTCTCAACTGCCCGGAGGGTGTGCAACTATTTTTTTTCTTTTAGCGTCTTAGAAATAAAATTCTGACAGAAGATCTACTAAAAATATTTGTATATTATTGATGTCCCCACTGGGGAACTTCCCCCTCGCTTCCTGACCCCATCAAATAGACAGGAGGCATAAGGAATTCCCTTGAAGTGTATGTACACCCGAACAATGAATGTCTATAATTGCTTCCTTTTAGTCTGTTTAATATCCCATTGATAGTGTTTTGTATCTGTTTGCAAAGTACAACAAATGCCTGTTGATCCTGCCAGAAATTCAGAGCTGTCCTGTACCCAGTGCTCACTTCCTGTGATATGACAAGGAGAGTATTTAGCCCTCCCAGTGTTGTGGGGATGGGAGAGTAGGCGGATCTGAGTAGTTTGACACAAGAAAACTGGGCAGGGCTGACACCACTCAGTCCTATAAAATTCTGTGTCAGCCTACAACAGGACTTTTTCGTACTTGCAGGAACTTTCAAGATATGAAAAAACTGGAAATGTGCAGGCCGTGCAGATAAGTACTCGAAATGTTATTCTCATTTGGCCTGGCATACAATTTAACCCGCGATACAGAAAGTAATACAATTAAGGGGCTCTATCCCCTCCCCCATCTAAAACTAAAAAATGTAATCCATAATTGGCCTTCAATCTCTTGTATGTCACCTTCCACCACAATGGGGATCCAATACTAATACTGACACAACAGATATTACTGACCTGTGACTGTGAGGGTGAGATTCCTGGACAGTTCAATCCGCAGAGATCGGTGGCTGATAATACAGGAATAGGTGTTCCCATCATCCTCTTTCTTGGGGTTCAGGGTCAGTAGACTTGTCACACTGTACGTCCCGTCTGAATTAATAAGCACATTCTTCACACAGGTCCAGAGCTCTAGGAGCTCACAGTCAGATGATCCCTTACGATACTGACCCCAGCGTATGGAAACATCTTTTGGGTAAAAGGTATGAACTTCACACATCACCGTCTTCTCTGTCCCCGACTCGATGGTCAGATCGTTTGGTGTCACGCAAGCCGATGGAGGAACTGTACAGAGAATAATCATTATTGCCACAAATACAGAGATCACATCCACAGTGCAGTTTATAACCCTCAGGAAGTATCTGTGAAGATAGAACAGGAAATAAAAGCAGCCAAAAGGTGGAGCAGATGATCCACAGAGAAGACAACCACTGCACTCCCTCCAAATCTATCACCACCAGCAGTGAGCATTTCCTATGGGAGACATTCCTAGTGATGGACGGAAAGCACTACAGAGCATTCATTGGGTTGGGTGAAAGATTTTCCATCTCTTAGGTGGCCTTTTAGTCTTAGAAATGTCTTATTAGTTGCTGCTGTTCTTTCCCAGAGCACAGGTAGGTACATCTCAAAGAACAGGAGAGATGCCACAGAGCCAGCGAGGGGCTAAAAGAGCTGCACAAAGGAGATGGCAGTGGTGTTGGAGCTGCTTGATATTGGCAGAGGTGGTCATGGTGCTAGTGGTGATATTAATAATGGTGTGGTGATGGTGACAATGATGAGTGGTGGTGGCAATTATAGAGGCTTATGGTGGCAGTGGTGGTGATGAACTTGGTGGTGATGCTGGTAGCAATGGAGATGATGTTATGAACTTCAGATAAAACAACTAAATACACAGATGGGAAAAAGATTAATGATTTTCCACAGCCTCACCGTCTCGTGATTCACCCATCTACTCCATTGCTGAGTTAAATGTGGCTGTGCAGCTTGGTAGTTGTTCTACGTACTTCGCCCATACCACTCTCTATGGCCTTAAAAAGCCAATGTGTGCTTACATTCTAGAGGGTGGTTGGAGTCTAGAGCACGGTTAGATCCTAGAGAGTGGTGGGAGTCTAGTACACGGTTAGATTCTAGAGGGTGGTTGGAGTCTAGTACACGGTTAGAGTCTAGAGGGTGGTTGGAGTCTAGTGCACGGATAGAATCTAGAGGGTGGTTGGTTGGAGTCTAGTACACGGTTAGAGTCTAGAGGGTGGTTGGAGTCTAGCGCACGGTTATATCCTAGAGGGTGGTTAGGAGTCTAGTGCACGGTTAGATCTAGAGGGTGGTGGTTGGAGTCTAGTGCACGGATAGATTCTAGAGGGTGGTTGGAGTCTAGTGCACGGTTATATCCTAGAAGGTGGTTGGAGTCTAGTGCACGGTTAGATTCTAGAGGGTGGTTGGAGTCTAGTGCACGGTTAGATTCTAGAGGGTGGTTGGAGTCTAGTGCACGGTTAGATTCTAGAGGGTGGTTGGAGTCTAGTGCACGGTTAGATCCTAGAGGGTGGTTGGAGTCTAGTGCACAGTTAGATCCTAGAGGGTTTTTGGGGTCTTAGTGCACGGTTAGATCCTAGAGGGTGGTTGGAGTCTAGTGCAACGGTTAGATTCTAGAGGGTGGTTGGAGTCTAGTGCACGGTTAGATCCTAGAGGGTGGTTGGAGTCTAGTGCACGGTTAGATCCTAGAGGGTTTTTGGGGTCTAGTGCACGGTTAGATCCTAGAGGGTGGTTGGAGTCTAGTGTACGGTTAGATCCTAGAAGGTGGTTGGAGTCTAGTAGACGGTTAGATTCTAGAGGGTGGTTGGAGTCTAGAGCACGGTTAGATTCTAGAGGGTGGTTGGAGTCTAGTGCACGGTTAGATCCTAGAGGGTGGTTGGAGTCTAGTGCACGGTTAGATCCTAGAGGGTTTTTGGGGGTCTAGTGCACGGTTAGATCCTAGAGGGTGGTTGGAGTCTAGTGTACGGTTAGATCCTAGAAGGTGGTTGGAGTCTAGTAGACGGTTAGATTCTAGAGGGTGGTTGGAGTCTAGAGCACGGTTAGATTTCTAGAGGGTGGTTGGAGTCTAGTGCATGGTTAGATTCTAGAGGGTGGTTGGAGTCTAGTGCACGGTTAGATCCTAGAGGGTTGTTGGGAGTCTAGTGCACGGTTAGATTCTAGAGGGTGGTTGGAGTCTAGTGCACGGTTATATCCTAGAGGGTGGTTGGAGTCTAGTGCACGGTTAGATTCTAGAGGGTGGTTGGAGTCTAGTGCACGGTTATATCCTAGAGGGTGGTTGGAGTCTAGAGCACGGTTAGATTCTAGAGGGTGGTTGGAGTCTAGTGCATGGTTATATCCTAGAGGGTGGTTGGAGTCTAGTGTACGGTTAGATTCTAGAGGGTGGTTGGAGTCTAGAGCACGGTTAGATTCTAGAGGGTGGTTGGAGTCTAGTGCACGGTTAGATTCTAGAGGGTTGTTGGGGTCTATGGCACGGTTAGATCCTAGAGGGTGGTTGGAGTCTAGTGCACGGTTAGATTCTAGAGGGTGGTTGGAGTCTAGTGCACGGTTTATATCCTAGAGGGTGGTTGGAGTCTAGTGTAACGGTTAGATTCTAGAGGGTGGTTGGAGTCTAGAGCACGGTTAGATTCTAGAGGGTGGTTGGAGTCTAGTGCACGGTTAGATTCTAGAGGGTTGTTGGGGTCTATGGGCACGGTTAGATCCTAGAGGGTGGTTGGAGTCTAGTGCACGGTTAGATTCTAGAGGGGTGGTTGGAGTCTAGAGCACGGTTAGATTCTAGAGGGTGGTTGGAGTCTAGAGCACGGTTAGATCCTAGAGGGTGGGTATGTATGGGTGCTGGCATTAGGGGGACTGGAAGTAGACATGTCTCATGACACTTATCTCCAGGGGTAAATGGTAATTAGATGTTTACAAATGTGTGTGATGACCTCTCCTAACAAAAACGTTGACTGGAAGTCTTCTAGACATCAGATGGTCACCTGATCCCCCCAGTCTGAACCGCATATTGTGACTGTTGTTTTATCTAGAGGTACGAATATTCCGTGATGGGAATGACTTTGGGTGGGGGGCAATTGGAACACAGCTCACTTTGGGTAGGGAGCCCATGGAACACAGCTCACTGTGGGTGGGGGTCCCATGGAACACAGCTCACTTTGGGTAGGGAGCCCATGGAACACAGCTCACTTTGGGTGGGGGGCCCATGGAACACAGCTCACTTTGGGTGGGGGGGGGGGCCCCATGGAACACAGCTCACTTTGGGTGGGGGGCCCATGGAACACAGCTCACTTTGGGTGGGGGGCCCATGGAACAAAACTCACTTTGGGTGGGGGGCCCATGGAACACAGCTCACTTTGGGTGGGGGTCCCATGGAACAAAGCTCACTTTGCAGAGGTGGGGAGACCCCTGTCTCAGCTCCCCATATCCCTCCTTTATGTGTAAGTCCCCCTGTGCCTGTTAGGGGTACAGGGGTGATCTGTCCTAATATTGGGGGGGGGGGGTTGTGGATTGTTTGGTGTCATGTGGTTGCATCCCATTGTTCTATTGTGTGTCTTGCTTGGGAGCAAACTATTATGGGATGTATGTGTGTTTGTGTGTGGATTGGCTTGGTGGGGGGTGTATATGTGGAAGCCCTCCCCCTGATGGGACTGGATGCTGGTGTGTCTCTTGTTATTGGGTGTGTGTATTGCCCCGCCTGTGTAATTATGCAGGGAGGGGGAATTGTTCCCTTGAATGTACAGTACATATCTTGTATCTATGTTAAAATAAATCAGTCTATTTCCCGGTTTTTTTACTTCAAGACTGGTGTCGTCTAGTCTTGTATGGTCAGCGGTGGTGTCTGTGGTCGGTGTTCGGACAGGGAAGTGGGAGTCTAACGGAAGTACCAAAGTGCAGTCTGGGGTCGGTTCCGTTACATTACACACATTGTGCAACATCAGATTAGTAACTAGGAGCTCTTCCAAACAATTTGTCCCCATTTACATATCCAAGACTAGATGGTGTACAATCAGGTTGGAATGTGTAATACAAAATATATCTGCCCAATCCATCTACAACTGTAACGGAACCGGATCCCAACTGCACTCGGGTATTATCATTAGACTCCAGCTTCCCTGTCCGAACACAGATCCACGGACACCACCGCTGACCATACAAGACGAGACAGCACCAGACTCGTCTAAAAACAAGAAGTGGACTGCTTTATTTTAACACAGACAAAAGATATATACACACAGGGCGGGGCAATACATTTAGTAACAGGAAACACATCAGCAGGCTGTCCCATCAGGGGAAGGGCTGCCATAAATAACACCCCCACCAAGCCAGTACAAAAACATACATCCCATAATAGTTTGCTCCCAAGCAAGACACACAATAAAATAATGGGATGCAGCCGCATGGCAGTGAACAATGAACAACCCCCCCCAAATATTAGAACACTCCAGCCACAGGGTGACTTACACAAAATAGGGATATGGGGAGCTGAGACAGGGGTCTCCCCGTCTCTCCCAAAGGGGGCTGTGTTCCATGGGCCCCCCCCACCAAAGTCACTCTCGTCACATATCCCCCTTTCGGCAGGAGACTAATGCAGGAGGAGACCCCAGACGGGTGGACTCTGAAGTTAGTCTGTAACTTCCAGTCCCCCAATGCCGGCACCCACACAGTTCCTGAAACAAATGGTCCCACACAAAGCATTACTCACCCAGCCAACCTCTGCCTCTCTCGTAGAACATACCCTCCACTGGGGAGAAGTACGGACTGGTCCTTCTCCCTGAAGTCCTCTCAGCCGCTGGAGAGAAGACAGGGTGGCTGGACCGGCTCCATCATGCAGTGGGGGATCTGGGCTGACTGCCCAGCATCCCTGGGATATCTAGATGGGGACTGTAGTCTCATCCACTTTGACTTCATGGACACCCCCCCAGTGTTTGCAAAGTACGGCTGACATCCTCCTGTCCTAATGCCAGACCCTTTTCTGGGGTTGTGTCAGTGGAGACCGAAGTCCCATCCATGGACATCAGCTCAAGCTGCCATTGTGAGGTGCCGATTGCATCCTCTTCCTGTAGCTCCTGCAGTGCTGATTGTTGTGGGCAGAGGTCAACCACGCCATGCCCTGAGGCCAGCTCTTCTGCTGGAGGCGCACCGGCTGGTTCCTCCTCAGCAGAAAAGTCAATCAAATCCCCAGTCTCTGGAACTGGTGTCTGGGGATAGGGGTTCACCATCTCCTGTCCATGGAACCCAGAAGATGTTACCAGTGCTGGGCAGAGTTCAGTAATGTTTGGCCCTGTTGCCAGTTCTTCTGCTGGAGGCTCACCAGGCTGTTTTTTCCTCAGCAGAGAAGTCTATCAAATCCCCAGTCTCTGGAATTTTCACTGCCGATTCTTGGGCATGCTGCTGAACATGTTTTAGCAGTTGCCTGTATGCCCTTTCCAGATGCTGTTCTTTCATCAGCAAGAATTTACAGATCTGGTTCAAGCTCTGAGACCCCTGTGAGACCGAACATAGCCTCTGTGTCATTCTCGCAGGTCCTCAAGGGTTAGGTTCACCTTCATCGCCAAACACAAAAAGATCTGTAAGGCTCTCCCACAGCAATCCAGGGCCACCAAAGTCATGTCCCTCCAGAGAGCATTCTGTTGTCACCCCCAAAATATTTCTGCTCAGCGTACTATTGCAGAGCCCGATATCGGTTGTCCAGCTCTATCTCCTGCTGGACCAGCCTGTCCAACTCAGTCACCCATTGCTCCTGGGCTCTCTCTCCCAGGAATGGCATCTGTAACATCCGATGGTCTCTAGCCCTTTCCTCTGAGGTTGGATAGCACTTGCCCTTGTACATACCAGAAACCCGGAGGGCTCCTCTCCAAAGCACCTCCCAAATCCAGTGCCTGAGCTCCAGGTACTGATCCGCAGACACAGTCCTGGGGTATGTTGCAAGTACGGTCTGCAGCAGCCCCGGGAACTCTGATGTCAGGTCCATATCTCCACTGGGGTGACCGACATCTCCTTTCCTGATCTTGAATTCCGGTGGTGGTTTGGATGTGTTCACAGCTTGGAAGCACAATCCCACCGCTGCCACCAATGTAACGGAACCAAACCCCGACTGCACTCGGGTATTTCCGTTAGACTCCAGCTTCCCTGTCCGAACACAGATCCCCGGACCACACCGCTGACCAAACAGGATGAGACAGCACCAGACTCATCTTAAAACAGGAAGTGGACTGCTTTATTTTAACATAGATACAAGATATATACACAAGGCGGGGAAATACACCCAGTAACAGGAAACACATCAGCAGGCCGTCCCATCAGGGGGAAGGGCTGCCGGAAACACCCCCATCAAGCCACTACAAACACATACATCCCATAATAGTTTGCTCCCAAGCAAGACACACAATAGAACAATGGGATGCAGCCACATGGCAGTGAACAATGAACAACCCCCCCACCCCAATATTAGGACATTCCACCCTGTACCCTTAACAGGCACAGGGGGACTTACACATAATAGGGATATGGGGAGCTGAGACAGGGGTCTCCCCGCCTCTCCAAAGCGGGCTGTGTTCCATGGGCCCCCCATCCAAAGTGACTCCCGTCACAACAACCATTTCCCTTTATAAAGCTCAAATCCTTCAGTCTTCCCATGCCTGGTGGTAGGGTGAGGTGAGTCCCGTCACTGGATGAACCTGAAGCAAAAGTATTCCAAGACCATCATATGGAAGTTGCCTCCACTCACCTGACACCTGTAGGGTCGATGTACCTAGATCTTGTTTTGGAGTATTTATCACTCTACAGGAGTACTGCCCCTCATCAGAGAACTGCGCCCGGGGGATGTGCAGCTCTGCGCTTCCATACTGGATCTTCGTCGTCTCCATGTAAGATCCCAGTCTGTATGACTTCGCGTTTCCATCTATATATTCATAGACATTGTACTCCGTGCCGTTCTCCGATGTCCTTTTCCATACTACTGCAATGGCTTTCCCAAAATTTTAGATCATATATATCACAGGGAATGGAGACATCTTCATCCCTCAGTACTGACACAACTGGGGTCCTCATTGTGACCTTCAGAGCTCCTAAAATATAAAGTTTATTTTACCCCAAAAGTGAGGAAGAAATTATCATTGTGACACCTATATCAAATCAGAGAATTGTGTACTCCACCTCCACCCACTGTCATCTCCTCCCACCGCTTCTCCCAAACATAGTGCCCACTGTCATCCCCTCCCACCGCCTCTCCCGAACAAAGTGCCCACTGTCATCCCCTCCCACCGCTTCTCCCAAACATAGTGCCCACTGTCATCCCCTCCTACTGCTTCTCCCAAACATACTATCCACTGTCATTCCCTCTAACCGCATTTCCCCAAACATAGTGCCCACTATCATCCCCTCCTACTGCTTCTCCTGAACATAGTGCCCACCATCATCCCCCCTACCACTTCTCCTAAACATAATGCCCACTTTAATTCCCTCCTACTGCATCTCCCAAACATAGTGCCCACTGTCATCCCCTCCCACAGCTTCTGCAAAACATAGTGCCCAGTATCATCCCCTCCTACTGCTTCTAATGAACATAGTGCCCACTGTCATCCCCTCCCACTGATTCTCCTGAACATAGTGCCCACCGTCATCCCCCCCACCGCTTCTCCCGAACAAAGTGCCCACTGTCATCCCCTTCCTACCGCTTCTCCTGAACATAGTGCTCACTGTCATCCCCTCCTACCGCTTCTCCCAAACATAGTGCCCACTGTCATCTTCCTCCTACCGCTTCCCCCAAACAGAGTGCCCACTGTCATCCCCCCCACTGCTACTCCCCCGAACATAGTACCCACTAACATCCCTTCCTACCACATTCTCCTGAACATAGTGCCCACCATCATCCCCCCTACCAGCTTCTCCTAAACATAATGCCCACTTTAATTCCCTCCTACTGCATCTCCCAAACATAAGTGCCCACTGTCATCACTTCCTACCACTTCTCCCGAACATAGTGCCCACTGTCCCATCCCCTCCCACCGCTTCTCCCAAAACATAGTGCCCACTGTCATCACTTCCTACCGCTTCTGCGAAACATAGTGCCCAATGTCATCCCCTCCTACTGCTTCTAATGAACATAGTGCCCACTGTCATCCCCTCCCACTGATTCTCCTGAACATAGTGCCCACCGTCATCCCCTCCTACCATTTCTTCTAAACATAGTGCCCACTATCATCCCCCTCCTACCCCTTCTCCCGAACATACCGCCCACTGTCATCCCCTCCTACCGCTTCTCCCAAACATAGTGCCCACTGTCATAAACCTCCCAATGCTTCTCCCGAAAACATAATGCCCACTGTCATCCCCTCCTACTGCTTCTCCCGAACAGGGTGCCCACTGTCATCCCCCACACCACTTCTCCCGAACATAGTGCCCATTGACATCCCCTCCTACCGCTTCACCTGAATATAGTGCCCACTGTCATCCCCTATCCCACCGATTCTCCTGAACATAGTGCCCACTGACAACATACCTACCGCTTTTCCCAAACATAGTGCCAACTGTCATCCCCATCCTACCGCTACTCCCGAACATAGTGCCCACCATCATCCCCCCTATCGCTTCTCCCAAACAATAGTGCCCACATGTCATCACTTCCCTACTGCTTCTGCAAAACATAGTGCCCAGTATCATCCCCTCCTACTACTTCTAGATGAACATAGTGTCCCACTGTCACCCATCCCTCCCACTGATTCTCCATGAACATAGTGCCCACCGTCATCCCCCCCACCGCTTCTTCTCCCAAACAATGTGGCCCACTGTCATCCCCTCCTACCGCTTCTCCTGAACATAGTGCCCCACTGTCATCCCCTCCTACCACTTCTCCCAAACATAGTGCCCACTGTCATAACCTCCACTACTCGCTTCTCCCAAACATAATGCCCACTGTCATCCCCTCCCGACTGCTTCTCCCCGAACAAAAATGCCAACTGTCATCTCCTCCTACCGCTTCTCCCTTCTCCCGAACAGAGTGCCCACTATCATCCCCCCACTGCTACTCCCGAACATAGTGCCCACTGACATCCCCCTCCTACCCGCTTCTCCTGAATATAGTGCCCACTGTAATTCCCTCCTACTGCATCTCCCAAACATAGTGCCCACTGTCATCACCCTCGCTTCCCCGAACACAGTTGCCTTGTCTCCCCTCCTACCCTTTCTCCATGAACATAGTGCCCACCGTCATCCCCTCCTACCCCTCCTATCCTGAACATAGTGCCCCTGTAACCATCCCCCTCACCGCCTTCTCCTAAGAACATAGGTGCCCACCCATCCCGCATCCCCCCCCGTCCTAACCACTTACGCTTCCTGAACATAGTGCCCACTGTAAACCCCTCTACACAGCTTCTTAAGAATATAGAGCCCTACTGTCATAACATCATACCACTTCTCCTGAAAACATAGTGCCCACTGTCATCCCCTCCTACCATCTTCCCTACCAAAGCCTATAGAGCCTAATCGTCATAACCTATACCACTTCTCCTGAACAGAGCCCCCACTGTCATAACCCCTCATACCACTTCCTCCTAGAACATAGTGCCCACTGTCAATCCCTCCTACCACTTCTTAAGAATATAGAGCCTACTGCATCCCCCCCTAACCATTCGTCCCCAAACTTCTCCTGAACCCACAGTGCCCACCATGTCATCCCCCACTCCTACCACTTTCCTCTCCCAAACATAGTGCCCACTGTAATCCCCTCTCCTACCCACGCTTTTCGCTTCTCCCAAACATAGTGCTTTACTGTCATCCCCTCCTACCATTCTCCCAAAACATAGTGCCCACTGTCATCCCCTTCAAAACTGCTTTTTTTCTCCCAAACATAGTGTGCCCAATGTCATCCCCTCCCACTGCTTCTCCCAAACATAGTGCCCATTGTCATCCCCTACACTCCTACCTCTCCTACCGCTTACCCCCTTCCTACCGCTCTGATTCTCCCGAACATAGTGCCCACTGTCATCCCCCGTCCTACCACTTCTCCCAAACATAGTGCACACTGTCATCCCCTCCTACCACCACTTCCCCTCTCCCCAAACATAGTGCCCACTGTCATCCCTCCTCCCCGCTTCTCCCAAATATAGTGCCCATTGTCATCCCCTTCCACAAACCGCTTCTCCTTCTCCCGAAATATAGTCCCACTGTCATCCCCCTACAACTGCTTCTCTCCCGAACATAGTTCCTCCCCTTCTTCCATAATCCCCCTACCCCCAGCCCTCCCTCTCCCCCCCCCTGCCCACCCTGTTAATACCCCCCCCCCACCACAAACCCCCCCCTCCCCACCCACCGCTTCTCCCAAAACATAGTGCCCACTGTCCATCCCTCTCCCCCTGGCCCTCCCAAACATAGTGCCCACTGTAACCCCCCCAATCCTTCGCTTCTCTTTCTCCCCAAACATAGTGCCCACCTGTCATCAACTCCCGCTGCTTCTCTTGCCAAACATCGTGCCCACTGTCATTCGCTCCCTCTGCTTCTCCTCTCCCCGAACATAGTGCCCAACTGTCATCCCCCTCCTACAGCTTCTCCCAAACATAGAGCCCACTAGTCATCACCCTCCTAACCTCCTAACTCCCAAACCTATTGCCCACTGTCATACCCGGCATCCTCCCGTAACATAGTGCCCACTGTCATCCGATCTCTCCATCACTCCTCTTCCACCACTTCCTTCCCTGTCCATCCCGACACATAGTGCCGCTCACTGTACATACGATGCCCCTGTCATCCCCTCCCACTCGCTTCTTCCAAACATCAATTCTGTCACTACCTCATCCCCTCCTACCGCTTCTCCATACTCCTACCCTACACCTTCCCTAACATAAGTGTATCCACTGTCATCCCCCTCCTCCGGCATCCACCACATAGCCGCCCCCGTCATCCCCCTCCACATACTGCTCACTGTCATCGATACCGAACCTGCTCCTCATATCCCCCTCCTAACTCCTACTCCTGTAACATACCGTATCACTGTCACACACCCCCCGGCTGTCATCCTTGCCTCCTACCCCAACCAGCTCACTGTCCAAACATAGTGCCCCACCGACTAACTTCCTCTCCTTGTACCATACAGCGCTCACTAGTCCACACCCTCCACACTCCTTTCCTGTACATACCGATCAACGTGTCATAAATCCTCCACCTCCTTCTCCCAGTCATACCCTCACTGTCATAATACCCCGCCACACTCCTCTCCTGTACATACCGATCACTGTCACAAC